TGCTGTGCTTATTATACAAGATGGCCAATAAAGCATGACATATTCAATAAATGTTCATTTCCTTCTCTTTGTCCAACCCTTCTTAAGTTGAGGGCATTCATAAAAGGTATTGAGCATTTCCATTTATAGACGAGGCGACTGAGTACAGCCCCCGAGGGCACGCAGCGAGGTGGTTGTCTGCTGAACCCATACCTCAGCTCTCTAGGCGTGTGGTCCCGTGAGGACCAGTGCATCAGGTGCTTCCTAAGCTGGCGTCACCTGCCTGGCCCGATGCCTCCTCAGGTGTTCATTGTTAATGCCACCTCCTGATGGCAGTTTTTTTCTGGGAAGAGGAGAAAAGAGAGGAAGCCGTCCCCAAGTGAAGGGTGCAGCGAAGGCTCCACGAATAGTTTCAACTAAGGACTGTCCCACGAAGGAACTTCGGGACGAGCAAAGAACAGTGAACTTCCGGTGTGACCCGGATGCACCCATTTCCAGAGAGCAGGAAGCACAGAGAAGGCCCGTGGGTCGCCGCCAGGGTGCTTTCCATCCTGCAGGGCTCGCTGTCTGCCCTGTAAGTTCTGATAAAGACATAGGACCTTCATCACCAGGGGCACCCCGTGGGCTGTTGCTGTGGCGTCTGTCCCCCATTTCTTACACACATGGAGTGTGATTGTTACTAATGGAGCGTGTCCAGGTTCTTGGCATTTTGAACAAAGAATTGGACAAAAGGCACAAAGCAAGGAATGGAAGAAGCACCTAAAGCCGAGATTTACTGAAAGTAGAAAGTATACTCCACAAAGGGGTGGGGCTGAGCCTAGGGAAGATCCCCTTCACAGAATTTCCTGGGGTTTAACCACCCTCTAGAGGTTTCCCATTGGTTACCTGTTGTACACCCTATGTAAATGCAGTAGTGGCCTGCAAGCAGTCTGATTGGTTGTGAAAAACAACCAATTAGAGGCTGACTTGAAGTTACAAAGGTTATACCCTATGCAAGCATCTGGTTGTGGAAAGCAACCAACCAGAGACTAAAGTGAAGTTACAAAGTTACAGTTGATGCAAATGACGACTTGCCCTGCCGGCCTCCTATAATGCCAGCACTTTGGGAGGCCGAGAGGCGTGGATCACCTGAGGTCACAAGTTCCAGACAAGCCTGACCAATATGGTGAAACCCCATCTCTACTAAAAATACAAAAAGCCGGTGTGGTGGCAGTTGCCTGTAATCTCAGCTACTCGGGAGGCTGAGGCAGGAGAATCGCTTGAATCTGGGAGGCGGAGGTTGCAGTGATCTGAGATAGCACCATTGCACTCCAGCCTGGGCAACAGAGCCAGACTCTGTCTCAAAAAAAAAAAAAAAAAAGAGGCCGGGCGTAGTGGTTCACGTTTGTAATCCCAGCACTTTGGGAGGCCGAGGTGGGTGGATAACCTGAGGTCAGGAGTTCCAAACCAGCCTGGCCAACACGGCGAAACCCCATCTCTACTAAAAATACAAAAATTAGTTGGGCGTGGTGGCGGGCACCTGTAATCCCACGTACTCATGAGGCTGAACAGCAGGAGAATCGCTTGAACCCGGGAGGCCGAGGTTGCAGTGAGCCCAGAACATGCTGCTGCACTGCAACCTGGGCGATAGAGCGAGACTCCATCTTAAAAAAAGAAAAAAAGACCGGGTACAGTGGCTCACGCCTGTAATCCCAGCACTTTGGTAGGCAGAGGCGAGCAGATCACGAGGTCAGGAGATCAAGAACATCCTGGCTAACACGGTGAAACTCCGTCTCTACTAAAAAATACAAAAAATTTGCCGGGCGTGGTGGGGGGCGCCTGTAGTCCCAGCTACTCCGGAGGCCGAGGCAGGAGAACGGCATGAACCCAGGAGGCGGAGCTTGCAGTGAGCGGAGATCGCGCCACTGCACTCCAGCCTGGGCGACAGAGCGTGACTCCGTCTCAGAAAAAGAAAACGAAAAGACTTGGTCGCAGTCAGTCTGATTGGTTGCAGGAAGCAACCATCAGGGGCTGAAGTGAAGTTACAAAGTTATGCTCCTGTGCAAACGTCTGATTGGTTGCAGGAAGCAACCAATCAGAGATACTTTCAATTTTCCGTCTGGGACGCAGCAAAAGTGGGAGTGGTGGTTTGCAAACTGAGTAGCCTCCCATCCTTTTGTTTGTTACTTAAGTGTGGCAAGTTAGGGTTTTCCTGTTGATTTAGTTCTGGAAGTCAGCATGAAAATTGGCCTTAGGTTCCCTGCTTCCAGACCTTATTCTCCGGCCTCATGATGACTTGATAGCAGACTTATGGCGATTAAAGATGAGAAGAAATGGTAACAGCAGTAGGCAGAAAATTGCCCTAGTTTCATGTTCTGACTATGATAGTGGCTACATGACCTTGACAAATCACTGCATTTGTAAAATAAGAACACATCTCTGTTTCCTTTCACTGGGGAATTAAAGGAAAAGTGAGATTGTGAAGAAATACCATGAACTTTCAGAAATAATGAAAGTGTATGCTAAGTGAATGTCTAATTATAGAAACGTATAATGCCTTTGTTGTCCATTTTGCCCTGAGCCACATTTTAATGCAAATTTACTTAGACTTGGGGGAGAAGGAGAGGGAAAGAAAACCAAACAAACTCACTTAGTCTTATCCAAGAGAAAAAAGAATGGGACCTACCTAGGCTGTTAGAGCAAATAATTTCTGTAATTTACCTATTCACTAGCTTGGTAACTGCTGTTACTTCCGTCTCTAGCCAGGGAACCTTGTTTTGGGAATCAGATTTGCTTCCGTTTGTTCAAATATATGGGGATAATTGTTTTCTTTTTTTGTTTTGTTTCTTTTTTAGAGTCTTACTTTGTTGTTCAGGTTGGAGTGCTGTGGTGCGATTTTGGCTCACTGCGACCTCCACCTACAGGACTCAGGTGATTCTCGTGCCTCAGCCTCCTGAGTGGCTGGGATTACAGACGGTACACCACCATGCCTGGCTAATTTTTGTATTTTTAGTAAAGACAGGGTTTCGCCGCATTGCCCAGGATGGTCTGGAACTCCTGGCTTCATGTAATCCACCTGCTACGACCTCCCAAAATGCTGGGATTACAGGCATGAGCCACTGTGCCTGGCCAAGTGTCAATTATTTTTTGACTGTTGTTTGTATTTATTTATTTATTTATTTATTTTTGAGATGGAGTCTCACTCTGTCGTCTAGGCTGGAGTGCAGTGGTGCAATCTTGGCTCACTACAACCTCTGCCTCCTGGGCTCAAGCAATGCTCCTGCCTCAGCCTCCCAAGTAGCTGGGATTACAGGTGCACACCACCATGCCCGGCTATTTTGAATTTTTAGTAGAGACAGGGTTTCACCATGTTGGCCATGCTGGTCTCGAACTCCTGACCTCAAGAGATCCACCTGTCTCGGCCTCCCAAAGTGCTGGGATTACAGGTGTGAGCCACCACGCCCAGCTGATTATGGTTTTTATTATAAAGCATAACTTCCTAAGTGTGTATGCTTCATTACTTGTTGATGTCTAAATCTGGCCTAGTAGTCAGTGCACATGGTAACAGATGGTAAAGCTAGATCACAGTCTTTAATAATAGGGAAATAGAGCATCCTCTTTAATAATAGGGAAAAGATTTACTGACATTTTTAGGCATAACAGTTTTCTGTTGACAGCTCCTCAATAGCTTGTCCATGTTCTCCAGAATCCTGGGGCTTTCCTTAAGGAATACTCGGGTGTTGTCAGTAAATTAATTTATGTTTTTACAGTTACTATTCTTGTTTCCAGTGTTTAATTTTTAAATTTTTCAGTTATCCTTCCATATTAAGTTTATTTAATTATTTAATCTCTGAAAGTAGAATTAATTCAACTAAATTAAAAGGGACAGTTTTTAATAGGCATCTAATTTGCATGCTATTTACAGAAAACCTTTTTAGTATTTCAGTTTTAGAAATTTGCTTTAGATTTTGCCATCTTAGTATGTCTTTATATGGTGTATTGTTTTGGTTTTATTTTGGTAAAATATACATAATTTTTTTTTGTTTTTTGTTTTTTATTTTTGTGACAAGGTCTCACTCTGTCACCGAGGCTCAAATGAGGTGGGATGATCTCGGCTCACTGCAACCTCCGCCTCCTAGGTTCAAGTGATTCCCCTGTCTCAGACTCCTGAGTAGCTGGGATTACAGGTGCCCACCACCCTGCCTGGCTAATTTTTGTATTTTTAGTAGAGACGGGGTTTTGCCATGTCGCCCAGGCTAATCCCGAATTCCCGACCTCAGGTGATCCACCTGCCTTGGCCTCCCAAAGAGCTGGGATTGCAGACATGATCCACCACAACTGGCCAGTATGTTTTTTTATGGTGTATTGTCTTGGTTTTATTTTGGTAAAATATACATAAGATAACGTTTACACTACCGTTTTTTTTGTGTGTTTTGGTTTTTGTTTTTGAGACGGAGTTTTGCTCTTGTCACCCAGGCTGGAGTGCAATGGTGCGATCTCTGCTAACTGCAGCCTCCGCCTCCTGGGTTCAAGCAATTCTTCTGCCTCAGCCTCTGAGTAGCTCGGATTACAGGTGCCCGCCACCACACCCAGCTAATTTTTGTATTTTTAGTAGAGACGGGGTTTCGCCATGTTGGTCAGACTGGTCTCAAACTCCTGACCTCAGGTGATCTGACTGCCTCAGCCTCCCAAAGTGCTGGGATGACAGGTGTGAGCCAACGTGCCTGGCCAGAATATGCTGTATTATAAAGAATCTTGCATGTTACTTGATGCCTGTGATCTGTTTTCTTAGTAAGAAGAGGAACTCTCCACTCAGCCTCAGTTCACTGCACCCACTCTTTTCTGTATCAGGATGTTCAGGGGAGAAGAGAGCTTGGCACCTCTTTCCTGTGTTGAGTTGTGGTTGCCTGTCACTGGGTTTTAAAGTGCCTTGCCTCCTCTTCCTGTTACTTGGGAGAAATTTCACTGATTGACTCAGCCATCTGGATTTATTTTGGGTGTAATGTTGATGTAATTTTATTGAAATAACACTAAATAGAAAGTTAGGGGATGGATCTTTATCTTATGAGGGTGTGGGACAAGTCAAACACTTAGTTTCTGAACCTTATTTTTTTCTCTAGTGCAAGAAAACTGCAAATTAGGCCACCCATGAGGGGCCCTCACAGCTTTGGCTATGGGTTTAGGACACCGGTTTTCTACCACTCACTTTCTTCTTACTTCTCTTGCACAGGGATCATGGCCCAAGTTGCAATGTCCACCCTGCCCGTTGAAGATGAGGAGTCCTCGGAGAGCAGGATGGTGGTGACATTCCTCATGTCAGCTCTCGAGTCCATGGTGAGGTCTTGTGTTCCATCATTCCATAGTTGGGTAGGCCTGTGCTCTAGATAAGGTTGATTTGTTTTTGTGGAAGATAGAATTTTATGGTTTTTAGTTTTAATGAGTAGTTTTTCTTTTCTTTTTATTTTGAGACAGAGTCTTGCTCTGTCGCTCAGGCTAGAGAGCAGTTGCAAGATCTCAGCTCCCTGCAACCTTTGCCTCCTGGGTTCACACGATTCTCCTGCCTCAGCCTACCGAGTAGCTGGGATTACAGGCACCTGCCACCACACCCAGCTAAGTTTTGTATTTTTAGTAAAGATGGAGTTTCACCATCTTGGCCAGGCCAGTCTCGAACTCCTGACCTCTTGATCCACCTGCCTCAGCTTCCCAAAGTGCCGGATTATAGGCGTGAGCCACCACCCCGACCAATGAATAGTTTTTCTTCTTGAATAATAGTTACGAATTTAAGCCTTTCACATCACATTTTATTATTTATTTATTTATTTGAGACAGAATTTTGCTCTTGTTGCCCAGGCTGGGGTGCAATGGTGTGATATCGGCTCCCTGCAACCTCTGCCCCCTGGCTTCAAGCAATTCTTATGCCTCAGCCTCCCGAGTAGCTAGGATTACAGGCACGTGCCACCATGCCCAGCTAATTTTTTGTATTTTTAGTAGGGACGAGGTTTCACTATGTTGGTCATGCGGGTCTCGAACTCCCGACCTCAGGTGATCTACCTGCCTTGGCCTCCCAAAGGGCTGGGATTACAGGCGTAAGCCACTGCACCCGGCCGAAATCACATTTTTATTACCATGCTTCAGAATCTTCTTACCTAAATGTTTAATTTTCCTATTTAATCTCAAATTTTTTTCTGCTATCACCTTAGGCAGTCATTTGTTTTGCAAGTGTTAACTTTGAATTTATGTATAATATTAGCAATTACTCAGAGTGAGATTGTATACTAGAATATGGTGCTTGAGGTTTTTTGTTGTTGTTGTTATTAATGGTTTTTTGTTTTTTTTTTTGATACGGAGCCTCACTCTGTTGCCAGGCTGGAATGCAGTGGCGTGATCTCAGCTCACTGCAACCTCCATTTCCTGGGTTCAAGCGATTCTCCTGCCTCAGCCTCCCAAGTAGCTTGGATTACAGGCGGCTGACTGCCACCACTGCCGGGTAATTTTTTGTATGTTTAGTAGAGATGGGGTTTCACCGTGTTGATCATGCTGATCTCGAACTCCTGACCTCCGGTGATGCGCCCACCTCGGCCTCCCAAAGTGCTGGGATTACAGGCATGAGCCACTGCGCCCCGCCTATGAATCTTATTAGGAAGCAAATTTCAGTAGATTTTGAGAATTCAGAGTATTTACTGTCAATGTGTTTTGTTTTTGTTATTTTTTTGACTCTCATGTCTCTGTATCTATTTTGAGAAAGCCATTCAAGATGCACATAAGGCCAGGTACGGTGGCTCATGCCTAATCCCAGCACTTTGGGAGCCCAAGGCGGTGGATTACCTGAGGTCAGGAGTTCGAGACCAGCCTGGCCAACATGGTGAATCCCTGTCTCTACTAAAAATACAAAAAAATTAGCTGGGGTAGCAGCATGTACCTGTAGTCCCAGTAACTTGGAGGCTGAGACAGGAGAATTGCTTGAACCCGTGAGGTGGAGGTTGCAGTGAGCCGAGACTGTGCCACTGCACACTAGCCTGGGCGTCAGAGTGGAACTCTGTCTCAAAAAAAAAAAAAAAGTGCCCATAAATATTTTGTTCCCAGGTTATTATGGTGGTGTTATTTTTTGGGGGGAAGACTGGAATCACCAACCTTTTAAATAATGTTATCAGTAAATGATCCAAGGTCTATTCATTAAATGGAATACTATATACTCTATAACATTTTTAAAGAATATTTAATCTTATAGAAATATATACTTAGTTAAAGTCAGTAAATACTCTGCCCACCTAAAAGTGATTCTGGCTGTGTGTACACAGGGGAATACTTCTGGAGGTAGGGATTATGTAATGAATGCTGTAGTGTGGGTTTCAGATCCCTCCTCCTTTTGTACTGATGGCACTTATTGCCGCAGGTGCCATGACTGTTTGAGCCACCTTTCACAAGTTTCTACTCTTTCCTTGGGGAGGGCCACGCCAGCTCCTAGCTCTGGGTGCAGCTACATCAGTGTTCAGTGCTTCCGCTGTCCAGCCCCGCCTGCATCCCACCTCCCAAGAGCTGTAAGACAGTGACCCCCAGCAAGCCTGTGTAAACTCTGAGTCTGCTTCTTGGGGGAATCTGATCTATAAGAGATTACAAGGGAATTCTGCTTTTTTTCCTTATAAATTCTGTGTTGTCTTTTGTTTAAAATCAGGCCAAAAACTATTTTGAAAGCGAAGTACCTTTAAAAAATGTTGTTAGATTTTTTTAATTCATCGAGCAGAAACGGTGCCCTTAAATGTCTGCATGTAACATAATATTTGCTGTTTGTATTATAGTGTAAAGAATTGGCCAAGTCCAAAGCCGAAGTGGCCTGCATTGCAGTGTATGAAACAGACGTGTTTGTCGTCGGAACTGAAAGAGGACGTGCTTTTGTCAATACCAGAAAGGATTTTCAAAAAGATTTTGTAAAATATTGTAAGCATTGTATTTTTATCTTTTGCATTTCATTAATTTTAAGCCTAAATATTTATAGGTAAGACAATTATATTTTCTTTCTTTTTTCTTTCTTTTTTTTTTTTGAGATGGAGTTTCGTTCTTGTTGCCTAGGCTGGAGTGCAGTGGTGCAATCTCGGCTCACCACAACCCCTGCCTCGTGAGTTCAAACGATTCTCCTGCCTCAGCCTGCCTAGTAGCTGGGATTACAGGCATGCACCAGCATGCCCAGCTAATTTTGTATTTTTAGTAGAAACGGGGTTTCTCCACGTTGGTCAGGCTGGTCTCGAACTCCCAACCTCAGGTGATCCGCCCACCTCGGCCTCCCAAAGTACAGGGATTACAGGCGTGAGCCACTGTGCCTGGCCAAGTTATATTTTCTTCTAAAGCAGGATGAGGTTTAAACTAGAAAAGATTTTCTGAAATGTTTATGGAGACATTTCAAAATGCTCCAAAGGAATCACCGAAATATGTCAGGATAGATACTGAAGAGTTAAGAAAAATGGTAATGTTTATTGTCCAGTGTTCCTTGCCTGGCTTTACTCTGGATTAATGAGATACATTAGAGAGAAGGTAATGAAGGTAGAGAAATTTTGAATAGATTAAAAGTTTTACTTAGGTAAGGAGTTACTTACTTTTTTCTTTCTTTTTTTTTTTTTGTGAGACGGAGTTTCACTCTTATCACCCAGGCTGGAGTGCAATGGCGTGATCTCGGCTTACTGCAACCTCTACCTCCCGTGTTCAAGCAATTCTTCTATCTCAGCCTCCTGAGTAGCCGAGATTACAGGTGCCCACCACCATGCCTGGCTAATTTTTGTAATTTTAGTAGAGACAGGGTTTTGCCATGTTGGCCAAGTTGGTCTCAAACTCCTGACCTCAGGTGATCTGCTTGCCTTGGCCTCCCAAAGTGCTAGGATTTCAGGCATGAGCCACCACTCTTGGCCTTTTTTTTTTTTTTTAGAGATGGGGTCTCGGTCTGTCACCAGGCTGGAGTGCAGTGGTGTGATCTCAGCTCACTGCAACCTCCACCTCCCATGTTCAAGCAATTCTTCTACCTCAGCCTCTGGAGTAGCTGGGATTACAGGTGCGCACCACCATACCTGGCTAATTTTTTGTATTTTTTAGTAGAGACAGGGTTTTGTCACGTTGATCAGGCTGGTCTTGAACTCCTGACTTCAGGTGATCTACCCACCTTGGCCTCCCAAAGTGCTGGGATTACAGGCATGAGCCACCACGCCCAGCCAGGAGTTCTTTTCTAGATAAAAATTTGGTGTGTTGAAAATCAGTTATTTACTGTGCAAATGAGTTTGTTTAAGCATATGCAAAATTAAACACTTCTCCTCCATTCCCTCAGTGGAATCACCTTATCACAGCCTTCAGTGAGTTTTGTAATTCTCATTTAGAGCAGTGGTGAGGTTACCTGACATTAGAACACAGTGTTGAAATTTACTATAGGGTGTTAATACTCACAGCCTTTCACAGTATGACAATTTTCATATCTGTGTTTAACCTAACACTGTTTGTAGGTTTTATGTTAACTGATTGATACAGCATTTTCTTTTTTTTTTTGAGATGGAGTCTTGCTCTGTCGCCCAGGCTGGAGTGCAGTGGTGTGATCTCGGCTCACTGCATGCTCCGCCTCCCAGGTTCAAGCCATTTTCCTGCCTCAGCCTCCCAAGTAGCTGGGACTACAGACACCTGCCACCATACCTGGCTAATTTTTTATATTTTTATTAGAGATGGGGTTTCCACCGTGTTAGCCTACATGGTCTTGATCTCCTGACTTTGTGATCCGCCTGCCTCGGCCTCCCAAAGTGCTGAGATTACAGGCGTGAGCCACTGCGCCCAGCCTGATACAGCATTTTCTTAAAAACATGGGAAGGGAACAAAAAAGCTAGGGTATCTATAGGCACATAATATATATAAGCATACCTCATTTTTTTTTGCTGTTGTTTTTGTTTTGAGATGGAGTTTTGCTCTTGTTGCCCATGCTGGAGTGCAATGGTGCGATCTCGGCTCACCACAACCTCGGTCTCTTGGGTTCAAGTGATTTCCTGCCTCAGCCTCCTGAGTAGCTGGGATTACAGGCATGCTCCAGCACGCCCGGCTAATTTTGTATTTTTGGTAGAGACGGAGTTTCTCCATGTTGGTCAGGCTGGTCTCGAACTCCTGACCTCAGGTGATCTGCCCGCCTTGGTCTCCCAAAGTGCTGGGATTATAGGGGTGAGCCACTGTACCCGACTGGGCATACATCATTTTTTTTTGTGCCTGGCAGATACTGCGGTTTGCATAAATTGAATATTTGTGGCAACCTTTTGTCAAGTCTGTTGGTGCTGTTTTTCTGGCAGCATGTACCCACTTCGTTCTCTATGTCACATTTTGTTAACTCTTGGCATAGCACTAGTTCAGACTTTTTCATGACTAT